AGAGAGAGAGAGAGAGAGAGAGAGAGAGAGAGAGAGAGAGGAGGAGGAGGAGGATGAAGAGGAGAAGAGAGTTCTTGGGCTTTGATTTGTGAGAAACTTCATCGAAGGCTACCCCCGGAGCCTCAAGAAACTCTTACTAACCATGCACAATATTATTAGATCTACCACAGTGAGGAGAGTTGCGCTTAGATTGATTTTCAACACCATTCTTCACTAAACTTCTCTTATCCTTCAAAGGATCATTTGTATTATTGAAAAGGCAATAAGATCTTTTTGTATTGTGCTTAATTACTATTTTTTATTTGATATAAACTTATATTTACAGTGTACTCAAGATGGTGTGAATTGAGGGTTTACGACGTACTCAAGCTAGGGTGAATTAAGGAATTAAACTAGTTATGGTTAGGTGCTACAATTTATAGAGAGTTAGGTTAGATGACTATTTTCAAGTAGATTCCAGGGTGCGGACTTGTAAGCCTACTGAATTGAGTTTGTGATTCAAGAGAACCCTTTTACATAGTCATGAAGCTCATTCGTAAGAAAGAAGAGTGGACCTAGGATTATTATATGAACCATTATAAAATCTTGTGTGTTCGTGGTTGGTTGCTATTTGTATTTGATTGTCGCTGATCGCTTTTATTTTATCTATTTCGCTGCCTATTCTGTGTTTTTAGCACAAATAAAAGGTAGCAACCCTATCATCCCTCTCTAGGCTTACATCTCAAATATCCAACAAGTGGCATCAGAGGCTCGTTACCCATCTTTAAAATGCACACGATATGGTAGAGATGTTAACTGCGACAAGGGCTTTTCCTAAGGAACACGCAGTTAATCGACCCTAACGTTTTTATGGGACAAATTGCACCTATTGGAAAGTGCACATGAAAGTGTTTTTCTTGTTCACCGATTGTGATATTTAGAGTAGTAACGAGAATGACTATAGTGAACCTACTACTGTTGTAAGTGTTACTATCATTGTCACTCCTAGAGACAAGTGGACCGCTCCTGATAAAAATCTTTATCCTTTAAAGTAAAAGCCAAACACTCTTTATTATTCCTTAATTGGTGAGGAGTACAACCGTGCAACAAATCATAATACTGCACAGAAAATTTAGAATATTTTGGAAATTACACAAAGGAATTTCACAGATAAAAGGGCAAAATATACAATACCTAAGAGTAAGTATGAGAATTTTAAGATTAAGGCTTCAAAGAGTATTCAGGATATGTTCAGAACATTGTGAACAAATCAAAAACTTTGGGAAATGAGTACGATAAAAACGAGCTTGTGAGAAAAATTCTCCATTTTTTTCTAGGGATTGGGATGTAAAACCCCGTAATACTGAATATTGTGAGATATAATAATAAACATGTTATATTGTGATAAATAATATTTATTGATATTTGAGTATGCTAGGAATTGATTTGAGATCAATCCGATACATATATATGAATATATGAGTGCAAATGCACAAAACATGCACGAGAAAAAATCTGGGAAAAATGACTAGTTAAGAGTTTATAGATTTTACACAATGATGAACTTAGAATCTAGGAAAACTCAAAATACCAAAGTTGTAGGTATTTTCAATATATTTCCAACAAATCTTATCTCACCTCATTCTGAGGTCGGACGCGAAAGTTATTGCCAAAATACCGAATATTATTTTCCTAGTCAGACTAGGTTTCCTGGTTCGGGTCAAATGGGTTTATTTCGGGTTTGCATATATATATATACTTATGGTTTCATGAAAATTATCATCCTTACATCAGAGTTTCAAACCCTAGCAGTCCATATTCCTCTCTCTAAAGCCCTAACCCTAAAATTAAGAATTTTGAGAGCTTTGTGAACCAAATATCGACACAAGGGCGAGATCATCGACGTGTAGCAAGGAGAAAACAGGTTGTTTGCACTTCCAATTGCTTGCTATTTATCTCAGAGGCTTAGAAAAACATTTAAGGCAAGATTATCTTCATCCAAACCTATCCCTATAGTTAAATAACTAGCGTAGATGATTAATATGATGTTGAATATGTGTTTTCATGCTTTAATCTTAACCTGAGGTGTTAAAAGTCAAATTTTTTATAGTAAACCTTAAAATAAATACTAGATTAATAATCTTTTCTTACTATTTATGATAGTATCATAATCATGATCATTATGGTTTTTTATAATTTTATTCATATATAAGAAATTTAAGTGATGTACTATATATATGTTTTTCTGCAGAAAACTGCAGCACTTGTATAATTTTTAATTGAGAGTTTAAGATAGTAAACAAACTCCAAATTTAACAAAACCAGTTTTAAATGAAAGATATATGTATCTAGTTTCTAAAATAGAAAATCATTCCTAAAAATAGTTTGTATAGAGAAAGATATGTTATATTTACTAACAATATGTCCTGCAGAAAAATGACTGCACATATATAATGTTTAACTAAATATTTGGAATAACAAATGAACTCCAAACTAAACCAAACTTATGTCATTTGAAAGATGTGTGAATTTAGTTTTCAAAACAGAAAGCCATTTATAAAAATAGTTTACCTAGAGAAAGATATGCTTATTTTACTAACAGATATCACGTCTATTTTTCCTGCTCGTTTTGTAGAGCTGTGTTGCGCCGTTTTGAGATGCGTTCGCAGAGTTTTGAGCCGCTTGATGTTACACATACAGTCATGAATATGTTATGTTATACATTTAAGAATCTCAAGGGGATTATGATAAATTTTGATTTGATCATATTTGAATTAGATATAGTTCATATACATGTTGGATGTCGTTGATGAGCACAGCTTAGTATATATGGGATAATGCATCGACACACCAGATATACACAGTTTATACATGAGGTGGATATCGTTGATGAGCTCAGTTCAGTACTACATAAGGTATTGTGTCGATATTCTACATGTACAGGCCTTTGAGTCGGATTTTAGGAGGCTTGATCTAGTCGTCCGTCCCGCACTAGGGTGCGATGAGGCTCGTGAGTCGTATTTCTTGGATGCCTATTTGGTAGTCCATCCCGCACTCATGTTATGCACTAAGATCGCGATGAGACTAATAAGCCGTGTATATAGTTCAGGATACCTACAGGGTAGTCCGTTGCACTGAGACAATTACTTGATAGGTTAAGTATGACGGATGCCAATTATGAATATGACCTATCATTGAACTATATAACTGAGATACGTTACTTTTAAAAATATATAAAATTATGTGTTGGTATTTTATTCTATCTCCCCAGTGATAGTGGAAGATATTATAAATACGATGTGTTAATATCTTATTTCTTTTACTGTCTTTTTTTTTACTTCTTAGTTGGGATCAATGATTAGAGATTCACAACTTGAGACATATGGTATATATATGAGGGTTTTCTTGTTTAGATTATTTCGCTTGACGTACCAATCTCGTGTTATGGATTTCTAATTATTGGTTTTATTAGATTGTCTTTTCTTAGTTCGGTATTAATGTTTAGATATCTACAATTTAAGACTTATGGTATATACATGAGGGTTTCCTTGTTTGGATTATTTTGCTCGACGTACTACGTCTCGTGTTGTAGGTTTCTAAATGTTAATCCTACTTAGATACGGGGAAAATGAATCTAGGTAGACTATGCTTAATAGATAGAGCCTTCACTCCATCTAGTAGCCCTTTCCCTGGGGCAGATGGAGGTAATCTTGCTGTAGCGCTCTGACGCTCTTGTTGATTCCTTTTCTTTTAAATACTTTTTCAGGTAGTTCGGAGTTTCGAAGAGCCACAGGGTGACGGAGTTCTGGCATAGTCGCCGTCGCGTATTTTTACTTGTAGAGACTCCACTGTAGTTTTGAGTTTTATCTAGATATTAGAGTTTCATATTC